TTCCTCCTCCTCCTCCTCCTCCTTCTCCTCCTCTTCCTCCTCCTCCTCCTCCTCCTCCTCCTCCTCCAGTCGTTTCTTCCCTTCTGTGAAGGCCAGATAGTCAGGGTTTAGTACCCTGGCTCGACATCTTTTGACAAATACACCTACCGTGCTTGAAGCCAGACACAGTGTCAAGAGTAAGCTCACAGAGCGCTTTACGCGTGGTGTTTTCCCTACGTCGGAAACAAAGGTGTCGTTCGTGTCAACGTCGGCCTGCCCCGCGTCACGCTGGAGACGGAACGGACCACGGGCGCCTGCAGCCTTTAAGGCAGGCGCGTCCCCGGGCAAGAGACACCCCACCATAATGGGTGCACTCGGCCCGTGGGGGTGGGCACATAATTCAAAAATGCTTGTGCCCTTGTTACATTGTTTCGACAAGTTGCATTCGCTGTCACATTCTCCATATTCCATTCACTCGCTTGTATTTTGTTGGATTGTTTCGATAATATTGTATTCAGTGTTGCAAAGGCGGTTGTCTCTCATCAAGCGATTTGGTCAATCATCAGGCAAACTTCTGGCTATCAGCCGAAAGTCTCTCCAAGAGCTCGTTTTCGGCGGTGCAGCATTTTCCCCATCAGCCAGAGTAGTAGCAGTGGTCGATTTACCAAAGAGGGGGCTTCGCACGTGCGCTCTGATTGTGGTGCCCGAGAACCGGGATACGAAGTCGGCTCCGCCGCCCTGTGCTCCAGTCAGTGCTCTGGTCACGGGGGCGGGGGGTCGGACATTCAAGGAAAAAGGGGGCACTTGCGGCCAAGCCGCCAGGTGCCGACGATGTCACGAAAGAGGGGGCAGTCGTTTCCTCCCTTCTGTGAAGGCCAGATAGTCAGGGTTTAGTAGCCTGGCCCGACATCTTCTGGCAAATACAGCTACCGTGCTTAAAGCCAGACACAGTGTCAAGAGGAAGCTCACAGAGCGCTTTACACGTGGTGTTTTCCCTACGTCGGAAACAAAGGTGTCGTTCGTGTCAACGTCGGCCTGCCCCGCGTCACGCTGGAGACGGAACGGACCACGGGCGCCTGCAGCCCTTAAGGCAGGCGCGTCCCCGGGCAAGAGACACCCCACCATAATGGGTGCACTCGGCCCGTGGGGGGGGGCACATAATTCAAAGATGCTTGTGCCCTTGTTACAGTTTTCGACATGTTGTATTCGATGTCACATTTTCCATATTCCATTCACTTGCTTGTACTTTGTTGCATTGTTTCGACAATACTGTATTCAGTGTTGCAAAGGCGGTTGTCTCTCATCAAGCGATTTGGTCAATCATCAGGCAAACTTCTCCTCCTCCTCCTCCTCCTCCCTGTCTACTCCTCCGCCTCCTCCTCCTCGTCTCATCCTCATCTCATCCTCCTCCTCCTCATCCCTGCTTGCTCCTCTTCCGGCTCTCCCTCTTCCTCCTCTTCCTGCTCCTCCTTGTGTTCCTCATCATTTTCCTTCGCCTCCTCCTCCTCTTCCTCCGCCTCCTCCTCCTCCTACTCCTCCCCCCTCCTCCTCCTCCTCCTCCTCCTCCTCCTCCTCCTCCTCCTGCTCCTCCTCTTCCTGCTTCTCCTCCTCCTCCTCCTCCTCCTCCTCCTCCTCCTCCTCCTCCTGTCCTCCTCCGACCGTCCGCCCTATCAACATTCAGCTAGCACCGCCTTCAAGGATGGGAGAGCCTGTTCCCCCCTCCCCGACGAATGCCCCTGACGGTCAGGGCCTCTGCTGAGTACCTTTCCCTTCCAGGACCCCCAGGGGCCCCCAAGAGCGCGAACGGGCAAGACGGAAGTCCGCACCCTCTGCCAGAGACTGAAGCACGCTGTTGGCTCGCTGGACGGGCGAACTCGGTGGCGCTGCGTGCTTTACCTGCGCTGTCCGAGCAAGCGGCGGAAGTTTGGGGCGCCCGAGCCGGGAATATTATACCTTGTCTAGGCTCCGAGGCCTCAGCTGCCTCGATACGCCCGTTTTGACAGGCAACACGTGCCGTGCTCAACACGTCCGAGTCAATATGGTACGTGTTGGCTCAGCGTGTTGGCCCGCGCTTGGGCGAACATGTCGCGTCACACCTGCCTTTTCAGTTTGCGCGTTGAGCCCCGTGTCAACCCGCTGCGTGTTGCGTGCTGCGTTTCGGGCGGGGCAGCTAAGCCCACGGCCGATTGCAGAAGGGCGGGTGTGGAGGGGCAAGCAAAGAGAAGATTGAACGGGCACCCGGGGCTCGGGCTGCGCACCCGGGGCCCGGGCTGCGCGGGCCAGGGCTCGGGCTGCGCAGGCCGGTGCGCAGCCCCAGCCCCATCGCGCGCAGTGCGGCGCGCGTGCTCGGCTCATGAGGCTGCGCGCGAAGTTCTGGCACCGTGCGCGCCGCATGCACGGCCCGCGGTCTCGTGTGGTGCAGCTTGGGGCACGAGACGCACGGCGGGTGAGCCGTACGGTGGAGCTTGGAGCGAGACGCACAGCGGGTGAGCCGTTATGCGTCTCGCTACGGTAGAGGGAA